AATAGGGCGAGCTTCGAATTTAGCATGGAGAACATAGCGCTAGAATAAGAAATTAGTCTCCCGAACATCAAAGGTTAGTCTTGGTCGGCCTTCAAACCTGGAGCGATTTCTTACCATCTCCACTAGGGCATTTGCTACTGAATAGTGTAAGTCTACCTTTAGACCGTTTATCTGAGCCTATTATCAGAAGCGTGAGAGGGGGGGGGTTAACATCGGCTGTTGAACTGACCAGTTTACATTCCTGTCATCCCTCCATGCCAGAAGCTTGAGGATACCAGATGGCGCAATAAATCCAATAAACAGACCTCTGAGTCGAAGTTTGTAATTTTGCGTCTTAGCTTCAATATCGCTTTCTGGTCCATAGAGCTTGTTACTTAAGAACTGCCTTTTTGCGCGGCGCTACGGGTTATCTTTGGGCCTGAAGCGCAGGGCCTCGCGATTATGGCCAAGCCTTCAGCTTCATCTAAGAAGCTACCAATCAATTAATAAGAACCACGGAGAAATAATAAGCCGGCTCATCTGTACGAATTGTGGGACCATAATATAATATTTCGTTTTCATCGTCATACTATGACCCCTTCGGTTTTATTGAAGACAACTTCAAATTTTTTCTTGAATTAGGCAGACAGAGCTTATACCGACAACGGAGCTCGGTTAGCCATGGAATGTTCAACGTCGCAGCCGAAGGCAAACGTTGTCCGGCAGTTTCCGGAGTTGTTGGTCCACGATCAGAGTGCCAGTCGGACCGTCGGAATGATGCGCCACTGGTCCGACTTTTTACCTCGTTTTACCTTTTCGTTCAATGCATCGACTCCGAGCTAAGCATGCTCTGCATGTACACGTATCCCCCTCCATGCTAGTATCTTCAATGAAATGGCCGATTATCCGGTCTCGTCGGCTTTGGTATTATTGGCGCGGTCTTCAGAGAAGTTCCAGTGAGCCCCCCACGGGGCAGATTCGACCCCTACCAAGGTGTGTTCATCAGACTGTCGGACTGTGGAGAAGTCTTGTAATTCCCATTCATCTTCGTATTGGAACCATCCGTCCTCTTCGCATATATATATTCCAATGTTCTTCTTAGACGGTTGAGGTTCTCTGAACTCCGACTCGGAGAGATGTCCATTAACGTCCATCAACATTCAACCCCAGAATTCTTGAATAACAATATGCTTGTTTCGTATTCGAAAGTGAGGATTCTAATTTGCTACTGTTCGTCTGAGGAAACGCAGTATAGCATCAACTACGCAAGTATATCGCCGGCTCTATTGTTATAGCGGAGCGAAGATGACGGCTGGTACTGCTAATTCTTCCTTTTTGATGTTAGTGAAAGCAAGAAATTATCTTCTGCGCGGCGCCTTACCTTTTTACGTTACGACGAAGTCGTGGGGCCGGATGGTTCAAGTTCCTAGGCCTCAGGTGGTTTTGTCAGCATTTTTCTTTCGGCGAGACTGGCCTCCATCATAAGCCATGTCATCGAAGGCAATTGAACTTGCACATCGTCGCGATTTATCGATATGCGAACAGGCCTATGGTACACGCTGTCGAAACGGCACAAGCTGCCGTTAGACATTACAGCGTTGTGTCAATTCCCATTCAACTCAGGAAGTCTGGGTTGGCAGCGAGGGTGAAGGCCTGTGAAGATATTACGAGAGGTATGACAAGATCGAGGTAATTATAAAGTTGATTTACCACATAAGGTACCCGTCCCTAATTGTAGTGGGAAATCTCTCCATGTTCAGCGATGTAATCGGATCCATATGCAGGGCAGCTCCCGCTCGAATTGATGAGGAGCTGGGTTCCAACCCCATCTGAATGATGATGTCGGAAAGTTCCCGAAGCTGTAAACGGTTTTAGAAAAATGTATTGTATGTTCTGTAGCCTCGTGAGTCGTTTCGGTAGGTGAATAATCGGCGAAGAAAAAGATAGGAGCATAAACATCATCATGGCACCATTAGGTCCCCGTCCACCAAGGCGTCCAAGGTGGGCAAAAGAACCTTCTAATATCAGAGTTGTATCAGAAGTTCAGTCGTGGCTCCATGCGTGTAGGCGCTCAGTCTCCAAAAATGATCTAGCATTTGGCTTGGGGAGGGAGGGGAGGGAGGGGGGAATAGAGGCTCAATAGCCAGAACTTAGGCAGGCTAGGAAGCACAGAGGGAACCGGGAGCATTCAGAATTCTTAAGAGCTATCCATGGGGGTACCGGAAGTATACGAAAACGGATAGCCATGAGGGTGATTATCTAAGTCCTTTCGGGGTAAACGCCGCGTGGTGACCGCAGACGTGGGAAAATTTCTCGGCCCCAAAACTCCCGATTCCCTTCTTCGTAGCGAACCACCACCGCGTCCCCCCGCATACAGCGACCTCGTCGTCCTCCACAGCGAGCACAGCGTCCAGAACAACCTGATTCTACCTCTTTTGTAGCGAGCTCGTCGCCGCAGGCCGCCGCAAGCGTTACTGTTTCCCGTATGTTCTATCCTCTACCATGGTGTACGCGCTGATTCTCTCACGTAGCGTCTCCGTCGTATCTGGCAGCATCCTTGCCTTTCTCTCTGCGATTTCTGCTTTTTTCCGACCAACTTTTCCTGTCGTGGGCCACCGGTTTAGCGTCTCATATACTGTCGTCACCGTATGTCGCTCTTTATCTTTACCGCTTTTCTGTGTTGATTGACATATCGGGCAGCGATTTCTCAGTTTCTTCTCATATCACATCTGTATCAGCCTCAACAAGATATCAGACACCCTCCTTCCGAGCAGTGATCCCATCTTTCATCTTTCATCTGTCATCTTCCCGTAAGGAACACTTTGCCTCCAGATCTGGCCTTTTCTCACCCTGCCGTTGCAACAGCTACAATGTCTTCCTTGGGTTTTGTCCTACGTGGCGCCGTACAGCGGAAAAAACAGCACAAGCCTTCGACTTTCCAACGAATCGAATGCCTTGTAACTCGTACGATACCACGCCCCGAACTTCCGCCGGAAATCTGGATGCTTGTCATCCGATTTGCGACCTGTTCGCACCCTGACCCCCTCGACACTTCACGACCTGTTTCATTTTTGGATCCCCCTCATGTCACTCAGTCGCGACTAGCTACATACTATGCAACAATGGAACAAAAACTAGCTCTATGTAGGGTCAGCAGGCAGTGGAACGAGTGGGCGACCGAGTTCTTGTATGAGTTCATCTGGGTCAATCGTGCCGGCCATGCCCGACTCCTCGCCCGTACCTTAGAAACGCCAGAAGGCAAGGGCCACGGACGTTGGATCAGGAGACTTCACGTCGAGACCATGGCATTGGACAAGTGCAACCCGTCGCATCTGCGTACTATCCTCGACGCCTCCCCCGATCTTGCCATCTACTCTGACCATCGGTCCATTCGCCTCACTCTCTTTTCCGTCAACTCTCCTCTGGAGGAGACATGCACCCCCGACGATCTCTTCCATTCATTACCAACCAACCTCCGTCGTCTATCATGGACCTCTTACGAAGCTTCTCCGACTCCCACCATGCCCCTCTTTTCTGTTCTGCGCAATCTCACTTTCCTTGAGTTGCACTTCCATGCTCCTATGCGTTCCTCATTTACTGTATCCTCGCCGCCTCCCGTGTCTCCTACCCAGATGTTTCATCTTCCCCAGCTACAGACACTGAAGACATCCCTCTGCTCAAACACTTTCGAGCTTCTTTCCACCTGGACCCTTCCGTCGCTCTGCAATCTCTCGTTAATCTCACCTGACTTCAGTTACTCATCCCCCGGCTTCCTTGCCTTCTTCTCCGCCCATGGCGCCAAGATCAACCAGCTTGAGCTTGGTCATTCCTCGTCCAACATTCTTGAAGAGCACTACATCACTCCTACCCGTCCAGTCATAGGGCGACCAAGTCTCGCGTCCCTCCTCCCGAACATGACCGAATTCATCTGCTCCGCAGATGCCGAGTGGAATTGGGAGAGCCCAGACTGGATTGCGCCACATGTGCTCCTTCCGTCTCATCCGCGGCTGCAGCTTATCGGGGTCCGTGACATCGGGAGAGGCAATTGGTTGCTGATTGAGCAGATGCGGAGCCTACTCAGGCGTGATGCGTTTCCCTCCCTGCGATATGTCAGGGACATGGGACCGGGTTTGTTGAAGGCTCGGAAGGGGCTCGAACCTGACCTTGACATGTTGTTGTTCTGGCGAGCAGTCTGGGATAGCTGTGGAGGTCGAGGTGTGTGGTTGGAAGATCTCGAAGGTGTCAACTTCGTTGCGAGGGATTGGAAGAGATTGGGCTTCGATGTCCCACCACCTCCAGATGCTGTTTAGTCGCTCATTTTCGTTCTTTGTTTTCGCTGTCGTTATCGTGTTTTCTTGTGCGTCCCCTTATTTATTTGTGGACATTCTTTTGTATACAGCCTTCGTTTCCATTCGCAGCACTCACCTGTATACCGACGCAAAAAATACCAATTTGCATGTTTGTTTTCTCTTCTATCCGAATGAAGGGAAGAGTTTCAATGGTGCATGTATTCCGGTGGCGTTACCCTGCTCTCCGCAGGACTACCAAAAAGTCCTCGCTTTTTCAGGGAACATTCCACGCACTGAGCGTTGTGAGGCGTCGCGTCGCGTTTATTACTTGTTGAAGCGAAATCCTTCTGAGCTCATATTACCTTGGGAGTCGGGATACAGGTGTTGTCGGCTAATTCTTGAATTAGATAGCGTCGATATTGGTTTTGTGCTGACAAGCGATAGTAGACTCAGGTCCGACGAAGCCATTGGTGAGTAAGGGCTAGCCAATTTTGGTAATTCTATTCCAAACGTTGGTCAAGAACGTAGAGAAGTTCAACATGACCCGCACCCTTCTTTCATAAATCTGCTTCGTACGATCTTGGTCGGTCGGTCGCCTCCCTTTGCAGACAACATTTTGTTAATCATTTATACTCATGATATTGAAACTCTTGAAGAATCAAGGACTGGTCAGGTGGAACCTGATTCAGAACTGATAATCGAACAAAGAACGTGCAAAACTAAAGACACATTAGCCCACCGCGAGGGTCGAACTCGCAGCCTTCAGATCCAACCGCCTGGGTAAAAGTCTGACGCTCTATCCGATTGAGCTAGGCGGGCAACATAAAGAGTAACTGTATGTATCATCTCGATGAAAACGCAGAGGCTATACGTTCTCTTCCTGATGTAAATAGCGTTCAAAACAAATGCCCCAGTCGCCCTGAATTACGTGACATCAGTTTTGTCCATGCTGCACCTCGGAACTTCTCGAGATCTAGATAACTTCAAACCAAATAGCGAAAAAGCTCCATGGTTTGGTCACAAGACTGCTTCATCTGCGACGTTCAATCATTCCTCGCTGTAGGAGCATTGTGAAAGAGCTAGTCCCTCCTATGATGGATTCTATTCATCCACAGATCCAAAAATGGACTCCGACCTTGCTCATAGCCTGTCGAGCGCGCGCGTTCTTGATCATGAGAGCAGTAAACGATGCGGTGACCTCCATCACTAGCCAGCGTTTACCTGCATCTTCGGTGGCCAATGATCATCCAGATGTCTGTTGCTGATATGCTCTCGGACATCGTTGTCGTCATCGTTGCTCCTGGAAAGTCAGGAGGATACGGCTTTGGCTGGCCATTGAAGTATGTCGGGCTCGGTGGAGCGGGAGATCTTCTAATAATGTTGACACGGGAAAGAATAGAAAGATTGCTTGGATGGATATGTGCCTGGATGTCAGTAAGGCGCTGGATTCGTCCTGGTCGGCACACCAACGTCCTTCGTTAGGCGTTTCTCCATGAACAAAGCGCCCGACACGCAACGGAGAGAATTTGTACGACTCAATGCCAACGACGAAAGCCCAGAATCTGGAGGTGTCGATGCGGTGGGGGTCCTACCATGCTGTTCCTCAGTACCAGAGAAAATAGCTAAAACATACAAACTTACCGTGATGCTCGTTATCAAAGGGCATTCCCGCTTCAATCAATAGCGAAGCACACGGTGTTGATTGGGAATTTGAGGCGGAGCTCGTAGAGCGTATTGAGTCTTCATTACCGACACGGATTGTGCGATCCTCCAAAAGAACCGACGACGCCTTTGGTTGAATCCCTTCCCTCCCCCTCGGCATCTAAATACACCAAAAGTTCATGCAGATGATGTGGACCGAATGATCACCTTGCAGGGTCCAGTCATATGTCCGACGCGTCTTTCCCTATCCAAAGGCTCCTTGAATACACGGACACCTATTCCTGCAGCCTATCCAAGGTCTCGATGTATTCTCAAAATCCTCCCTCAAACCACGACCATCGCCTGCTCTCACCCTTCCGCGCCTCCCTCCACGCCCACAAGAAGACCAAAGTCTTCTTATTCAGCCGTAAGCCTTTTTTCTTCCATGAATGACAGTGACACAAAGCGCTGCCCGGCAACGATGTCAATGTAGCGAGTCATAGGAAAGTGCCAGAGCATTCATCGCCGGCAATAGCGCGCCCTGCACTCTGTCGAGGGCGTCGCTCGTCATGCCTATCTATTGTGACGCACAGCTAACCAAGGCAGTCTCTGTTCACCGCCATTGTGTATCCAGTCCCGACGTGTCAAATACGGCTTATGTATGCGGGCATATCATATCATCCTCGCCGCCCGTCCTTGTACCGTCTGTACGTCCTGGTACTGTCCCAAACGGGGGAGATACTCCAGCAGTACATCCACTGTTACAGCCAAGCCGAGGAGAGTTGATGATGGAGCTCGACTTTACCCGCGGTCCATCAAACGTACGCGTTCTTGTCCATGGAGGGGACGTGAACGAGGTGACGACTGGCCCGTCTCTTCCGTCACTAACCATCGCCCATCCAATGCTTCCATGGTCAATAGCTATCCAGACGTCGGAATACCAAGAGCGCGAAGTTATCGAGAGGTTATGAGATGCTCTGCGAGCGTCCATACCCCTGGGAACATCCTTACCGTTGTAGTTCCTCGAAAATCAGGATGATGCACCCTTTGACAGCCGTCGAAGTGCTGTGAAGAGTGAGACATGGCTTAGGGGTCCAGACTTGCGTATGCGAAGGGAAAGATGCGGTTTATGGGACTCCGTGCACAATCGAAGGTGACATCAAGCTTGGTATCCGAATGCACTGCGGCCGTATCCATCATTCGTAAAAAAGGAATTCAGAGCGTGTCTGGGAGACATTTGAGAGCATGCTAGATAATTATCATTAGAACTCGAGCACCCTGAGAGTAATACCCACTACTCACCCGAAGATCGCGCAACGAGCACACCCTCTCAGGGAATTTTTCTCCATTGCGGTCGTCACCAAAGATTGACACACAAAACGTCTTCCTCTACCAACGACGACTCATCCCAACCGCGTCTCGTGCTATCTTTAGCAGTATGCTTATCGTTACTGCCCTCCTGAGAATGATGTTCCAAAGGCTAAGTGCTGGAACGGAGCGCCGGAAAGTGGCAGAGGATGGCTATGGTGTGCGGCTTGGAACATGTAGCAACGCGTCTGTGAAAAGGGACAAAACGAGGGTGGTACTAGCTGGTATAGTGGAACCGGTGCTTGGCGTAGCTCCGGTGAATGGGAATGAGCAAAATGGAGATCGGAAGGATCATGATCTGACTGGAGTGGTTGACTGATTTCGTCGCAGGCCTATCCCATTCCTTGGTCTTTGTGGGTGAAGATTCACAATTCCCGCTCACGTTGAGTGACAAATCGTGAGGATTTTCATGGTGCTGTAATCGAAAAAACGATGAGATTGAAAACGTGACAAAACAAGAACGGAATACTCACAGGGATTCGCTATCAGCCCAATCGTTCCATCAGCTCCGCGTTACCGTACCAGCGTGTCGCAGGTAATGATAAAAGTCAGCCGATCCCTCATGTTGCTTCGCCTGCTACTACCATAAGAGTCGATCAAGGGCTGCATGGTGTGTGCCTTTGGGTCGGAAGATCTACCCGAAATTGCCAGCGGTCGGGCGGAACGAAGTCGTTGGCCATATGGCGATAGTGTTGGTCGAAAAGATCAATGCCACCAGCCTCTCTTGTCGCGGACTCAGATGTTGAGCATGGCGAGCGTTGACCGCAAGCCACGGACTAATTTTAGATTACCGGCACTTACCTTTTTAGTTATATTTTTTCGTCGTGACATCTCAGTGTTCAACCAACGTCTTCACACTGAGATGTACGTATATACTCATTATATCTCTACTATACTGTTGCTAATCGTACCTATAGAAATACTTCATACTCATACATATTCTATAGGTACAGCACAGTGTTCAACCAACGTCTTCACACTGAGATAAATACTTCATACTCATACATATTCTATAGAATCGTCTTCCCTCTCGCAAACGTGTCTTCCCTTCGCGTACGACCCGGTCCACTGCTCAAGATCAGAAGCATAGCCTCGGCATTGTCGGCAAGAATACATCCTTCGATAGACTGTGTCATCGTCCCATCCCTCCGTAGTCTCGAACAGAGAACGATATCCTGACACTGTTACGGCCGAGCCTATGAGAGAATGATGGGACTCGGCTTTGCTCAGTCTGATGAGCGTACATGTTCTTGGTCATGGAGACTGCGTAAACGAGGCGACGATGAATTTGCCTCTTTCATTCCCGGTTATCGTCTACCCAATGCTTGCACGGCCAGTTGTCATTCAGAGATTGGGCGGTCAGAAGTGAGTCACGGTCACCGATATTGTCGTGATGCTTTGGAGTGCTCTGCAAATACCCGTGCTCCTGCGAACGTCGTCGTCGCTCCTCGAAATCTAGGAGGACATGATGTCAATAGCACTCGTAACATGTCCTGCTGGGTAGAGCTCGAAATGGTTCCTAGGCTGGTGTATTTGAAGGGAAAGACAAGGTTTATGGTCCCCATGATATGATAAGTGACACCTTGAATCTTGGATCGCGATACACTTTCAAAATGGAATCCAACTTATCCAAGGTAGTCGCGTAAATCTGCAGCGGAGCCGACACCTGGTCCTTCCTGTTCTCTCCCGCTTCTACATGGTTCTACAGCCCCTTGAGCCTGGCTTGAGCCACGTTGAGCTCTTCCATCAGCTCGGAGCATGCCGTTGGCGCATCCTTGACGTCTTTGAGGAAGTTATAGCCTTGGATGCATCGCTCGACAAGGTCTAGAATGCTCGTTAGGAGGGAGACGGGGTTCATTGTTATGGAAAAATGAAGGATAAGCGTGCGAATGCGGTGGGAGAAGACAAGAGATGCTAGACTGTGTATCTGTCACCATCGGTTGGCGCGTGTATGGGAGGGTGATAAGGAAGCGGGGATAGGGGAAGCTCATATCGGATACAGGGGACCCCACGACAGTGAGTAGTACATACAGCTACCGATCAGGCGAACACGCCTGCGAGTAGTAGTTCAAGTGGACAGCCCACCTGAATTGATTCTTCAGTCTGTTGCGTCAACGAACGAATACGATATTGAAGACACACATTGCCAGCGAACAGTGGCTCGGTGGCGATCCATTCAAGACAGACAACCGGACAAGCAGGCATAGGTAGCATATGAATACATCAATTGTGTGTCTGTCGGATGGCTCTCTTAATATTGCCGCCGGGATGATGCAGCCGCCGTCAGCATACACGGCCGCATGCATGAGTGCAAGGCCCCGATACAGGTCAAGCCTAAAGTAAAGGAATCAATATAATGAAGACGGTTGTACAAATCTGCGAACGAACCAGCAGCATATATTCAATTCCGTTTGGATAAATCTTTACCCACTCTCTCGGCGTCTAAACCCACCACAAAGTTCTCGTTTTTTACAACCCTACGGACTGCGCCGGGCGATTGCCCAGCAGGATGCAGTGAAACGTTAGACGTGTCTCTCCTCATCCAAAAGTTCCTCGAGGCCGTAGAACACCTTTATATAAAGTCCGACTAAGTGGCTGTAGAGGTGAACGTAGGGCTTGACGGGGCAATGTCAATAGTTCATCGATTGATGAAGGCGATAGGATGCGGTGGCAGTAGCATAAAAATGATTTGATCGATTGTAATGACATTTTTGACAGTGGGCAGACGTTGGCGTCGACGATGTGAAAGAGATAACGAAGTAGTATCCTCATTTGAGTTAAGACCGGGATTGAGCTTATTACAGTTATCT